CATTGCTGGTAATTTTTCTATTCATTTTTTTTTATCATTTTTAATTATTATATCATTTTTATATAAGTAATATATTTTATTTGTATTATTTAAGTTTATAAACATGTTATTGCTCTCTGCTGAGCACTTCTCAACCACTCACACCATTTTAGCTATTCTAAACTCAAAAAGTGTAGCTTTCACATTGCCTCCGCACACATACACATGCATATGCTTTTGTACAACATTATAACGCATGTGCCAGCAATAAATTATATACATATATTGTACTTATTTGTCTAATAAGCTTTTACATAACTATTTACATACACCTGCGAGTATATATTACATAATTATATATTAACAAGCTCCTATCTAATAATAATAAATCATTAAATGTTGCATTTTTGTTTATTTTTCTCTTTCTTTTCTTCCTTATTTTTCATTGTCTCGTTTACTTGTTTGGAACTGTTGAAATGTGTTAATTTGCGTCCTGCATCAAACGCGCTAAACAAAAAACAACAAAAACAATAATATCATCCAACCAAATAACACGCACACAAATGGAAAACGCAAACAAAACTTAAAACAACAACATCAAATCATATATGAATATCGTTAAACAACAACAAATATATTTAATTAACAATTGAATTTGCATGAACCGAATGTTTAACGTAAATGTTTTTTTTTTTTTTTGTTTCATTGTTGAAAAATAATTATTGCACGCTAAATTAATAAATTAACAAATATTTATAAACAAAAAATATTTTTTAACTGTAAATTGAAACGCCTTTTGCTTGCTTTTGAATTCGAAACTTAACAACACAAATTTAACGCCAAAAAAATAAATCGCTTAAAAATTTACATAAACAAATGAAAAAAAAATCATATAAATAACAACAAAATACAACAACAAAAACACATATGCAAATAGTTGGCCTCATATCCACACCAACCAATTTTTGTCAATTTAAAGAGCCACCACTGTTGGGACCAGGCGCCGCCTTCCCACCATTTGGCGCAGCGGAATTCCATCCCACCACACCGGAAAATTGGAAGGGCGCCACCATACATCCGACCGGACTGATGAAGGAGCCAGCTGTAGTGCCGGGACGCAATGCACCGGTCACATTCGCTACACAGGCACAAGGACAGGTAAGTTCGAAACTGAGCATAATAACTAGACTATGTTGTTGTTTATATAGTAATATAAAATATACACGTGCGGCATGGCATATATGTATATGTGCTCATGTGTATTTGTGTATGTGTATGTATTAATATTATTTTATTTAAAAACGTGCTGATGAATTAGTTAGTTATGCGCGTTGCGTATACGCAGTGGCGCACAAAGCCAGCTCGCGCACGCTGACGACATTTCCAGCGCTGTGGAAGCATAGCGGTAATGTAAATGCGCATATTTTTATAGCAAACGCATACACATACACATATACATGACAACTCACGTGAACAATATTTTATGCGTGTGTTTGTATGTATGTGCGCGTTTGCAATAAATTGCTTGCATTATTTTTATGCATTTCGCGTATATTTATGCATTATATATATACATACATATTTATATACATATCTATTTACTATATAAATCTATATATTTAAATACATATCTATATGTTATATACATTTACATATGTAGTACATATATATCGATATATACTTACAATATATTCTCATCTGCTTAATCCGTAACTCTCTATCTCATATATACATATCTACGCTTACACGTTTTTTCTGTCTATAATACATATTTGTTATATAAATACTATATACATATCATATACATACTATATACAGATTTTTTTCAAATAAACCCGTTGGCCGTTTGTAGTTTATATACATTTATGGATTTTAACTTTAGGACATTATACCTTCTCTCCAGGGTGCTGTCATGATGGTTTATGGCTTGGATCACGACACATCGAACACAGATAAATTATTCAATTTGGTCTGCTTATACGGCAATGTTGCAAGGGTAAGTCACCAATACAAAATACCACAACTATTCATTTTATTTAACTGCATATAAATAATGGTGCTGCAATTAATTGCCTTTGCCGATGAGTGAGTGCGTTGGATGAGAAATACAAAAATAAAAAGCAAAAAAAAAATATATAAAGCAAATGCAACAACAAAAAAATTCTATGTGTAATTCATAGGTCAAGAACCACCAGAAAAAGTATTTATTTATTAACATACTTTAGTAAAATTTTTTTTTGGTAAAATTTAAAATATAAATCAAATACTATAGGACTAAAGATTTTTTAGAAGGTAAAATAAAATTTTTTTTTAATAAAAATATAAAAAAATATATTCACCAAATTAAATTCAATTTAGAATCAAATATTTATAAAAAAATTTTGTATACAAAATCTAATTTTTTTATTAAAATTTTTTCTAAAAAAAAAAATAACTACTCCAAATTAAAATATTTTACTTTCTATAATTTTTTTTTACCGTAAGTATAGATTGTAGTTATCATAAATATAGTAATTATATTTTATAAACCCATCATTTATTTAATTTTTTTTTAATATTTTACATAAGAAAAAATTATAATACTCAAAAAAACAAAAATTTTGTCTTCTATAATTTTTTTTACCGGAAATTTTAAGAAAATACATATATATTAATCATTTTATAAACAAGTAAAATCAGCTTCTCGTGTTTTATATGATTTTTTTAATATTTTAAGTAAGAACAAATATTGTTACTACAAAAAAAATTATTTGTCTTCTATAAAATTTGGTTTTATCAAAAATTAAAAAAAAAAACAAGAAAAAATTTTAAGTTGGATTGCACCGAAACACCTTCACATTTGCCTTTTCTATAGCGTAAAAGGGTATAAAAATATATTTGTTTTGATTTTGATCGTTCAATTTGTATGACAGCTATATGCTATATTGGTCCGATAGCAACAATATGTTCACAGATTGTAGCGATAACTGAGGTAATAATCTGTGCTAAATTTCGTGACGATATCTTGTCAAATAAAAAAGTTTTCCATACAAGGGCTCAATTCCGATCGTTCAGTTTGTATGGCAGCTATATGCTATAGTGAGTCGATATCGCCGTTTCCGACTAATGAGCGGATTCTTGCTGAGAAAAAGACGTGTGCAAAATTTCTGGTCGATATCTCCAAAACTGAGATACTAATTCACGTATATACAGACGAACAGAAGGCCATGGCTAAATCGACTCAGCCTGTCATGCTGATCATTTGTATAATATATACTTTGTAATTCATAAAATAAAAGAAGACATAGTTATTATTTGACGGTTGTTGTTAGAAAAATGGTATTAATAAAATTTTTCTTTCATTTTTCAAATTTACAATAAAAAAAAATATGTTGCCTAGAGTTAAAAATATTTCAAAATTTTACACTAGAAATTTATGTTTGAAAACAAATTTTTTTAATATTTGGAAAATTTTGTCTATTTTCAATATTTTGGATCACTTTGCTGCTGTGTTAATAAAGTATTCTTTAAATTGGAGGAAAATATGATACAATTTTAAATAAATAAAATAATAAACATTAAAAAAATTAATTTTTCAAAAAAATTTTTTTTAAATATTTTGTTTAAAAATATCTATACAATTATGTTACTCAAATTTTGTTTAAAATGGGAGGAAAAATTTAATCATATTAGCAATAAATAAAAAATATATATGTATATATTCAAAGTTAATTTTAATTTTTTTTTAATATTTGAAAATATTTTGTTCAATAATGACAACAAAATTATTATGTGTTAAAAAAAATATTCTTTAATACATTTTTTATAGAAAACATTATTCTAATTATTCTAACAAAATTTTTTTTAAATAAAAACTTATATTATATTTTTAATAACTTATAATACTTTTTTTAATAATATTTTTATTAAAAAGAAAACTTTTAAATTATTTTTATTAAAGGCTTTTTCATTAGCAGAGCTCAAATTTAAACCCAAAACACATTTCAACTGCATTAAGCTACCCTGGCGTATACGCAACATCTTGCACATGCAAAAATATCCTACATTTTGTTTAATAAAAAATGCATTAGTAAATATTTCATAGAAAAAAATTTTAATTTTCTAACAAAAATTTTTTTAAATAAAAACTTTGATTATATTTTTAAAAGCTTATAATACTTTTATTAATAATATTTTTATTAAAAAGAAAACTTTTATATTTTTTTTATTAAAGACTTTTACATTCGCAATTAAAAAGATCTCAAATTCAAACCCAAAACACATTTCAACTGCATTAATCCGCACAATATGCCCACTAGTAGGCTGCCATGGCGTATACGCAACCTCTTGCACATGGAATGATTTCCTAAATTTTTGTGAAAAATCCACTCAACCGTTATACTACTAAACGCTTACTGTTGTATATTTTTAATATCCGCCTGAAGGGTATTTACATAACAATAGTTAGGCACTCGCAGGGCTAATACAACGACAACAAATTGCATTTGGATGCAGTTAAAGCAGTACATATGGGAAAAGTTCTCGTAAAAATGACAAAGTTTTGCCTGCGTGTATATATGTGGCTGTGCGTGTGTGCCCAGCTAGATTACACAATTTATAAGCTTACTTGTGTGTGTTTGTGCGTTTTGTCTGCCCGCATAAATAAATTCAGTACTCCGTTTGTTTGCACAACTCTTAGGACTTACTTTGTTTGAGTGTTGTATGGGAGCGCACACAAACACAATACAAACACATACAAAGAGGGAGTATATTTTTATATTATATATACCCGTATGTATATACCTCAATCAATATGCGTAAGCAGCGAGTATTAGCTTGCTTTCAAACTTTTTGTACGGCACACTTTGTGCGTCGGCTATCGATATAAATACATACATGTGTGTGTTAGTGCGCACATTTGTATGCAAAGTAGTTAGCTCGATTGTTCACATGAAGTTAAGGACGTCGGCCTTATCTATCGCAGCAACTAAACCAGTTGAATATTGTCGTACAACAATGGCAAAATAAATAGACAAACACACACACACACACCTACATGCGTGTATGTAAAATGAACACACATGTATTTACGTAAACTCTCCGATGTTGGCTAACAACTATTGTAAATTGTAAATATGCAGTTTAATGGAAATAAATTGAAAAAATCTGCAACGGTCATTTGCACTGGCATTTCAATAAATATTGGCAAATAAATAAGAGAGGACATGCCTGGCAGGTGAAATAAGGACGAAATGCACACACACATACACACACTTAAGTATAAATGTGAAAAGCATTTATTTGCGCTGTGCAAATATGCATTTGTATTAGTTGCAACATACATATACACGCACACAATTATGCACTCATACTGTTGCTATTTTGCTCACATACACAGCGACATTGGTATATCGACAGTTTTATGCAATTTGGTAGGGAAATGCATAAATTTGCATTTTTCATTGTAAATCATGACTTGCTATTTTGCATTTAATAAAAATCTCTAACGTAAATGGATTTTGCTGAATTTTTCGTCTAGCTTCGGAAACAGTTTTTTTATCAATCCCTTCAAATAAATTTTGTGGGCAATTAATTTAAAGCTATAAATTGGGAATTTGTATTTAAATGAATAGCATTATTAACAGGTTTAAGTAAAAAATTAAAATAAAAAATTCAGTACTACTAAATATTAAATAAACAATATTTTTTATAATTAAAAGTTAGATTTTGTAAAAAATGTATATAAAAAATATTTCTAAAAATATAAACAATTTTTTTTCATTATTAAACCTATTTATTTTTCCAAAATGTATTTTATAAATGTTATAATTACAAAGATCCCGATCAGCTCAAGAAAAAATAAGATTTATATAGTTTTTTTTTTATAAAATTAAAGTTTTTTCTTTATAAAAAATCAGAATTATATAAAAATTAAAACCATTTTCATATTACAAATGTGTATTATAATTTTTACAAAAGATATATTATAAAATCGGGATTAATTAAAAAGTTAAATAAAAACTATTTTGGAAAAGTAAAAAAAAAAATAGTTTTTAATATTAAAACCTTTTAATTATTTATTATGTTATAACTGCTAATAAAAAAATCTTTTTGTATTAAAACGATTAACTCATTTAAAATATATATTATAAATGTTATAGTTAAAAAAAAAAATTATACATTTGAAAGCTTTTTATTAAAATATTTAATTTGATTAAGTTTGTATACTTTCAAGGTCACATAAACAACCAATATTTACGTATAATTAATGAAATCAAATCGATAAATTTTATACTGAAAATCAAAATTTAATTTACGTTTTTAAACACGAAATATGCACTAAATTCCAATGAAATAAATAAATTTGCGAGGAAAATGATTTTTACTAATATATGTACATATGCCTGTATAGCTGTCTACCCTTTCCTAGCAAATTTTCTGTAGGTTTTCGATTCTTTAAATTTTTGTTGAATTAAAAGCTATTAAAACCATTATAGTTTAAATGGAAGCACTTTCTATGCCAGAGTAATACTCTGGGAAATTCAAATGTAGCGTTTTAATAGAAATATGAAATGTTGCGTATACGCAGCAACCAACCTATAACATCCTTCACAGATTCATTTCTTATGGCATAAGAGTATAAAAAATCTTTATCTTGATTTAATCGGTCAGTTTGAATGTCAACGTTTCAATATATTTCAGCAGACTTTTTTTTCTCGGAAATAATTAAAAAATTGCATTTTTTGACATAAAAAATGTCATATATTTGAAATTTGAAAATATAACTAAATTTAAATAACTGCAAATATTTATGACAAACTTTAACTCTCAAAATTTTTTTACCCTACTAAATATTATAGCACACAGTATACATATTTGTACAGCTCAGCTAAAACTACGCTTCCTTTCCACTACTCCAAGGTTTAAAAAAAAAGCCACCAAAAAATTAAAAGTTTGCCAAAATCAACAATTTTACTGCCATGCTTTTACGAATATAATGAATATTTGCATAAAAAA